AAGATGTTAGAAAGGGAAGCAGCGATCACCAGAACCAGAACCGGCTATGTGGACAGCGAGGACTCCAGTCAAGCCCCTACCCCCCTTCCTTGTTTGGATGGGAGGGTCCCTGGGCCGGGACTTGGGTCAGAAGAGTGCTACTGATGTTGAAGACCCAGATTTGCACAAATTCACCTTAAACGGACTTGCCCATGATGACTGTTGATTCACAGGGACCTGGGGACCAGTGCTGACCTACAAGATGACTCAGTGACAGGCCGTGGGCTCTGTGTGGCCCTGCTCTGCCTGACAAGTTGGTTGGAAACTGATAAAGGACTAGTCATAGCTTCAGATGACCAAACTAGGCCAGGCCAGAACGACAACCAAGAAGGAATTTAGCATCGGCAAACGTAAAGCTCTGCAGTTGAGTGACCAAGGTCACTCAGCATGAACACAAAGGAGACAACTGTTTCCGAGCTGCTCACGGAGAGAAGTTCTGGGCACTCTGCAGGCTGTGGACTCCATACACGTCTACTGGGTGAGAGGGCTGCTCAGGGCACGAGTGCAACCGTTGATGAGTGTGCCCCCCAGACCCCACAGATGCCCTTGGTTTCTGTGCACACCTCCCCTGGGATAAGGGGCCTACAACGCCATGCAGAGACCTTCCCCAGGGCTCCTGGAGCCTCATAGCCTGCCTGCCACAGCCAGGATGCCTGGAACTACCCACACACATGCACAGACCCCTGGCCCCCATGGCAGGCATGCCCCAGGTCTCCCCTACGGGACCAAGGCCAGGACTTTACCTGAAATCACACCCTTCTTGACTTGCACTCCCCACTCCCTTTTCCTTAGTCAATCCAGAATCCTCATCCTAGCATGAGCTTCTGGGAGCCCAGCCCCAGACTAGCCTCCTCAGCATGGCTCCAGGAACCACAATTTCAGAAAGCCAAGGCCAGAGTACATGTGACCTAAGCAGGGTATGAAGCACAGGGTAAAGGACCTTGAAGGAGGCTCTATATGAGGAATGGCCAAGATGGGATGTGGACCTTGATCAGAGCCAAGTTGGCCAGGCAAGAGCTAGCCCCTGACTGTGGCCATGGAGGTAGGCCAAAGGAACACTGGCACACGTGGTGAATGCCAGCTCGGTGCCAAGCGCTTTACGTGGGTTATTCCATGTAATCCTCAGAGCAAGCCAAAGAAGGAGGCACAATTATCATATCATCGTGAGGAAGTCGAGGAACAGTGAGGTCAGTAACTTGCCCAACATGGCTACAGGTGAGATCCGGGATTCAAACTCAAATTTTAGACCACTAAACTGTAGTGCCCACCCTCCCCCACAATGCCCAAAGTGCCAGGATCTGCACTGGGAAGGCCCTTTGCACCTGTCAAATAAGAATCCAACACTTCTGGGGACAGAGACCCAATCCAGCTGACACAGGAGGTGATGTCACAGTGGGACAGGCCCATTCTCTGCTTTTCCAGCCCCACCCCGTATACACATCGTGACCTCAGGCGGGTAGTAGCCTATACTCTGGGAGCAACGCCTTCTCCCTTAGGGTGGACTAGTGATTCCCTGTGAAGGTATCAGCAGCCTGGGGCTTGACAAAAGATGCCTGCTCTGTGACCTGGCCACGCCCAGAGGTGATAAGCTCTCGGAAGCAGGGCTTCAGCTGTTGGGGGCCCGGAAGGCTGCCAGAAAGCAGAGAACAGTGGACAGAAGGGAGGAGTCCCTGGAGAAGAAAGAGGGGGGCTGCTGCCTGGACACGGAAGCTCAGAATCTAGGGCGGATGTTCTGAAGGACAAAATCTGTCAGAAAAAAACAAGACCAGCCAGGACCATGGACCCTTCCCTAGCAAAGCTCTGACCTCCAATACTTTATTCTAAATTCAAAACAAAACAAATGTACAAATAATGAAATCCATCACCTTCCAGAGCAGGGCCTGAAGGGGACCCAGAAAGTCTGGTCAGAAATCTGGAATCTGAAGGGAGATCTGTAAACTAAGCTGGTGGCCATGTCTTGAGACCCTAAACCACTGCTGGTCAGGCCCAGCCAGGGAGGGGCCACAGCAAGGGGATGGGGGCCGGGGTTCGTTCTCCAGGTCAAACTCAGATTTAAGCTGCAGCCAGTCCAGGTGGACCCACTGGCGAGGCTGTGCAGTCTGGCTAGTGGGGCCACGGCCAGGGCAGCAAGCTTAACCAGGAAGTTACGATGGGGTCCCCAGCCATGCACAGCCCCAAGGCTGGACACAGGCCAGACTGGATTCCAGCACCACCTTGCAAACATTTATCTTGGTCACGATGAGTTGGGTGGAAGGACTGGCTAGGCCTTCCCACTTGGGGCCCAGCCCAGCCTGCCATCCTGGCCCACCAGGTACAGCCAGGAAGGGGTACTGATTGGCACACAGCAGCCAAACAGAGAATGAACTCAAGGGAATTTGCATGTGACAGAGAAAGTCTCTAAGAGTTTCAGCCAAGTATCCTGGCATGTGGCCCTTCACCTGCCTCTCCTTGTCCCAGGTAGTGGCCTCACCTCCTTTTGCTCAAACTGGAAACCAGCCTCCTAAAACTCTTCCTCCTTTCTGAAGCCACTGCAGGCCCTGTGTGCACCCGTGTATGCACATGTGTGTGCATGTATGTGCATGAATGCCTAACCCCCAGCTCCCTTTCCATCTCCCCGACAGGCCCCTCCTTGGCTCGCACACCTATATCCCCCTGGGCCCCAGCCTCCCACCTCTCCCACACTAATCTCTCCAATGGCAGCCAAAGGGATGTTTCCAAAATGAAATCTGACCCCATCACCCTTTCCGCAGCTCCCCGAAGTCTGCTTCCTTAGTCACACAGGGATCCTCACCACGGGGACCCCTTGCCAGCCTCCCAACCCAACAAACACCCCAACCCAACGTGCATTGCGGTGACTCACCACGGCGCAGGCAGGACAGGGGCCTCCATGCCTCTGACCAGGCTGTCCTGTCTGCCTGGTACGCCCCTTCCCACTGCCACCTGTCTAGCCTCACTGTGTCAAGACCCCGCTCAGTTGTGGCCTTGTGCACTGGTGCCCTCCCCACTCCGTTTCATCACCTGTCACCTCATGGCCCCACAGCTGGGGCTCCCAGAGCCCTGGTGCAGCGCCAGGCACGTGGGCAGCCTGGTACGCACGTGTCATCGCCCAGAGTGTGATGGGCCTGCCTCGCAGAACACCCAGAGGCACAGACGCGCTGCGCAGTAGCCAGAGCCTACGCGTGCGTGAAAACTTGCTTGTGCACATTTTCACCACTCACCACGCCAAACCCCTCTGCCCCAGCCCCACCCTCAGAAGCAGTTCTGATGTGCTGTCATTTTTTTTTTTAAGCAGAGTGGGAAGGGTGCGTTTGGGGGTAAGAAAGCCCCACCTCAGGGCCATGGGAGGCATTCAGACCTCATGCATGCCTTCCTCACCTTGTTCCTTTGGCCCGTTAGAATGCCAGCCCTGCTTTCCAACTCAACCCGCTTTTGGAGGAGTCATTTCCACCACAGTGAGTACAGGGTCCTTGAGGTAGTGAAAGCTAAGCCAGCTGCCAGGTCCCGGGTTCCTAAGTGCATGAGGCCCAGGAACAGGGTCAGGTCACGGGCAGGGCTGCACATGGGCCCTTACTCCACCCTCCCAAGCCAGGGGACCCTGAGCAGCACACTGACCTGGCTCCCTCTTCAGGGCAGGCTGGCGGATTGTCCCAGGAGCTTAGGATCTTCAGCGCTAAGCCCCAGGATGAGAACATAGGCCCACTCCCAAACTCCACAGGTCTTGGGAGGTCCTTGGGCAATGAAGCCAGGCTGTGCCAAGCCTGTGCCCTGGGTTCCTCACCGCATGACCCCAGCCCCCTGTTCCTGTCCCACGTCAGCTCACATGGGCAGGGCTGGGAGGACAGGCTCACAGGCCTCCCAGCTCCCCACGGCCTCACAGCTCTGGCCATTTCCCACCAGGTGAAAAACCCCACCCCAGGCTCCTTCCCTCCTCCTATCCATTTCTGCCTTCTCTCCTTCCAAGAACCACACTGGCCAGGAATAAGTCCTTAAGCCAAAGGAATGAGGTGATAATGGTGTCGTTTCAGGCACTGCAACGTATTTGGGGACAAGTGGCCACGTTTTCTCCCCTTCCTGAGGCCAGCCCCTGACCCGATGACCAACAAGGAGGGCTGGCTCTTAGCAGCAGCCCCAGGCCCTTCTGGGATGCCTGGTGCCCTGGTACGGATGTAGACCCCGCCTCCTCAACCCTGTCAGCTCAGTGAGGGTGCAGACAGCCCATCTCATTCCCCAAGGATTCCACAGAACCTAGCACAGGATACAGACTCAATAAATCCTTCTGGTTCATGACTACACTGCACTGACCACCAATGTGCTGCGGGAAAGCAGCCCAGGCTTCAGCCAGCCCTGGCTCTGAAACTCAGCCCACCACCTCCAGCAGTCCAACGGGCATGTCAGCCATGGCCTTGCCAAATGCCTGTGGTTTCACCCATAAATCAGGGCAAAGAGGCAAAGACTCAACAAGGGAAGGTGACAAGCATAGTGTGCGGCACATAGGAGGTCTTAAACAGTGTCGGTGGCCATCCCCAAAGACCCAGCCAGTCCCTGTGTCACGTGGGGCCCCAACTTTCATGTCAGGAATTGGTTGTATCTGAGCCCTGCTTTAAAATACAGCCACCAAGAGTCCCAGGGGAAATCATGGAAGAGTTCTGAGGAGACACTAAACAGAACATCGAGAATTTTTACAGAAAAATCAGGATCTCCCTTATGCACAGTGCTGAAAGTCTGTCCCAAAGTTCAGAGCCTGGACGTGCAGGGATGTGGCTCTCAGGAATGAAGCCCTTAAAAACCAGCCCAGCTGCAAGGAGCAGGAAGTCCCCAGGCTGCAGTCCTGTGCCCTGCGGTCAGCCAACAGCAGAGACACATCCACGGCTGCCAGGAGGTCCAAGGAGCCCGGGGCCCCCACTGTCCCTGGCCTGGGGCTGAGTCCACGGGCCCAGGATAGCTCTGAGGGCCACAGCTCCTCACTCGGGAGCTGCACTGGAGCAGCCGCAGCAGCTGGGGCGCCTCAAGGACTGCATGACAGCACGCAGAGGCCCCCTCCGGCCCTCCGCAGACAGGCTGTCCTCGCTGGTGGGTGCCCGCTGCAGCTGCTCAAACTGCATCTCCAGATGCTTCTGGATGGCCACGCCAAGTACCTCAGGGTCCACTGCAGCTCCATACACCTCCCAGGTCATGCCCTCAGCATCCCATCGCACATCCCGCACAGGGGATGGTGCCTCCTCCAGGTCAGACCCCAGAGTTACCTCCGGGAATGTGTGCAGGGCCACGGGGGCTTCCAGGGGTGGGCTGGTGGCCACAGCCTTGCAAACCGCCATGGGGGCTGCCTGTACACCAGCATCCTGGGCTGACAGAGAGGATGCCAACACAGGGGCCAAGTCACTGGCTGAGGTCATGGTCCATACATCCTTGGTCCTGGTACCAGGCTCCGTGACCAACCCGGTGGGACCCCAATGGTGGGCACAGCAGTGGGAATGCCCAGGGAGCCCCCCAGGCAACCTGCACTGGAACCTCACCGCATGCTGAGCCTGCAGCCCAGACTCACTTACCGATGCCACTAGTTTGGGAAAGGTCAGGATCCCCGGGGCTGGCAGGGCATGACAGCAGCCACCGGTCCCCACCTCTCTCATATTGCAGAGGAGAGTTGCTGGGGACAGGGCATGGCAGGAGGTCGTGGCTGGCTGCCCAGTGGCTTTGGGCCCAGCCTGGGGGCTGCTGCTGTGGGTGGTTGTCCCTCCCAGGTCTAGTGGCGTCACCCACACCTGACTGTCTCCCAGTGTCCAGGCTGAGTTCGAAGTCCCTTCCTCTGGAGCCAGGTCCCTCTCTAGGCCTGCAGGGGCCCGGCCTCCCTGGCCAGAAGTACTACTGGGCTGCAGCTGAGCCCTGTGGACCGGTGAGCTGCCAAGGGCCGAGCAGCTGAGGCTGGCTTTATGGGCACCACTGTGGCCCCGGGTCTGGGTGCTGCGCACCAGGTCCGAGTGGCTCCTCTGCATGGCAGCAGCACCGGGGGCCCTCAGGCGACCCAGGTCACCACCACCCACGGTAGACACATTGCCCACAGTGCTGCTCCGCCAGTGGCCCACAGCACGGGGCCGGGGCCGGGGGCTGGAGGCCTGCGTCTGCTCCGTGCTCTCAGCGTGGTGCTCCTCTTCCTCCGGGACCTGTGGACTGGCGCTGGCCTCGCCTGGCTGGGCCTGCCATACAGTGCTGCTGGCACTCTTGCGGAGCTCTGGTCTCTGCCCCTGGCCTTCCAACAGGCTGGAAGAGCTCCGGGACAGGGGCTGCGGGCAGGGACTCTGGGGTGGCCGGGCACCCTGGCCAGGGCGGCTGGTGCTCATGATGCCTGCAGGAGAGAGAGGGAGGGAAGGGAGTTGAGTGGACTCCGCTCTGGGCTCACACGGTACAAGGCACACAGCAGGGCATAGCTTCAGCGCTAGCCTGGATGATGGCTCGGAGCCAGGAGCCAAACAGTGACAGGACACCAGACACTCCAAATCAAGATTATCACACATCATACACAATATGACACTGCAAATATCTAATAACCGGTACCAAGTGATTAGAACCAGCCCTAGGGTAGGGTCCTGGATTATGTGGAGGGAGGAGAATCCAGGGGAGAGGCCAAGGCTGCCAGGACACTGGGGGCGGGCGCTTTGGGACAATAACTCTTAGTCAACCAGCACAGGAGTATCGCAGTATTTTAATAACCAGTAAAGCTTGACTGGCAAATACGAGCTGGGTTCCTCCCAGAACTGTCCGTATCCATCTTGCTTTGGACTGGGGCCTCCCGGGTACAGAGTTGTCGTTCAAAAGAGGTTTGTGAGATAAATGAACAATGAATAGAGGGCACACAGAGGACACGCCCTGGGTTCTCCCCTGGCCCCCTCCCCACCCTCTCAGGCCTAGCCTGGTTGGGCGATCATGTCTCTGGGACTCAGTCTTGGCAGCTGTGAAGGGGAAGGGGTTTTCTGACTCCCTTGTCTGGCTCCAGGGTAGGGAGAGACCCCACGCACCAGCCCTTTACACACAGGACACTAGGCAAATGCTCACTCATTCCACAGCCATCTTCAGAGCACACAATGCATGCCTGGCCCTGGAGTTAGGGGACATGGAACTAAGATCCTGTGCCTCCAAGAATGTGGTCTAATATCACCAATCGGAAACGCCCTCCATCAAATTTAAATGCCCTCTTGCCAAGTGTGCTTGCACCCACCTTGCCTCCCTCCTTCCCTGCCTTTCCTGTCTCTTCCCAGCCACACAGACCCCTCTGGACCTGCTCACTGACTCTGGCCCTTCAACATCAGCACCTCCTCCCAGAGAAGCTCTCCCAGGCTGGGCCGGCTCCATCTCTGGTTGAGCACTGTCTTGCCTGGATGCAATAACCTGGCCACCCCACCAATCCGAAGCTGTCAAAGCAGGCCTGCACCCTGTCCCCCTCTATCTGTCCAGCACCTAGCGCTGCCCTGGCACACAGCTGGCCCTCAGAGAATGTCTGCCACGTGCCTGGCCGAGAGAACAAGAGAATATAAGAGTAAACCCACAGAGGAAAGTGCTGAGCACCAAAAACGGGGTCTGAGAAAGGGCATTTCCAGGAGAGCTCACTTTGTGTGACGGATCAGGAAAGGCCTCCTGGAGGTCGGGCCTGGAGAGAGAGGAAGGAGAGGTGCCGGGAGAGGAGGAACAGGATGAGCAGAAGGCAGGAGGCACATGAGGGGAGCAGGGGGCTGAAAGCCGGGCAGGGCCCGACAGGGAGGAAGTGGGGTCAGGGCATGTGGGCCAGCCTGGCCCTGGCTGAAGCTGTGAATGAGGAATATCTCCCAGAGACTCCCTGCCAGGCAGGACCAGCTGCAGAAACAGGGGGGGGGGAAGAAGCAACAGCCGCAGTTTGGGCAATCCCGGTCCTGCCCTTCCACCCCCGGGGCTGATAAGAACCGCCAGGAAACAAGCCACCTTGACCAGGGGAGCAAGGCCACCTGAAAGGGAATTCGGAAAGGGCTCTCGGAAACTCCGTTTCTGTATAATGACAAACTTCTTCTGCCCCAGCACTCAGGAGACAGCTGCTGGCTATTCAAGCCAACAGTGAGGATGCTTCTGGAGCTGCAGTCCCCTGAGAGCTCGAGGCCTGCTGTGGAGTCCAGTTCAGCACAGCTTCTGGGCCGATGGAAAGATCTGCACTGTCCGATTAGATCAGCACTGGCCACATGTGGCTACTGAGCACCTGACAGACGGCAAGTGTGACTGAGAAACTGGCTTTCTAATTTTACTTAAATTGAAGCAATTTAAATGGAAATGGCCACATGTGCCTAATGACTACCATACTGGACCGTGCAGCTCTAGACACAGCTCCTGCCTGGACAGGGGTGTCCCATCCCTGCTGCTCCTTGGGGCTGAAGCCAGACTGGTCCCTGGAACAGCCAAGAAAAGGATGAGTAGCCAAGAGAGGACTAGAACCCAGTCCCTATTCTCAAGGAGCTCTAAGATGGATGTATAAAGGGCAACAAAGCCATTAACCATCACAGTGATGATAATAACAGCTCCCAGTACCTACTCACCTTGTGCCAGGCATGTGCCACATCCTTTGACACACTGTCTCATTTAAGTGTCAGAGCAGGCTCATGAGATACATCAACCCCATTCTACAGATGAAGAGGCCAAAGCTTAGAGAGGTTTACTGACTTGCCCATAGGCACAGTGAGTGCTAAGTCAGGAAGCAAACCCAGGAGTGCCTGAGGTTCTCTGTGCCCACTCTGAGCACTGTGCAGACCTGCACTGTGGCCATCTTTTTACTTGTCTGTTGCCCTGACTCAGCTGAAGCCCCAGCACCCAACACAGCATCTGGCACTTGCAGTGGCTTCCATGACATGCCAGTGGGACTGGCTGAGTCCCGACTCAGTCCATGACTGAATGAGTGGGAACAAAGCCTGGACCCCCACCCACCTGGAGTCAGGAGAGCAGGGGATATACCTGCTAGCTGGGAAAGCTGTGGTCACCAGCAGCTCCAGGCAGGCGACAAGCACCCAGCTACAGGTCCAAGAACACCAAGAAAGCCCTATCTGGACAGCCTACACAGCCGCTGGCTGAACCCCACCTACCCCAAACCCTCCTAGGGAGCAGGGCCATAAAGAGCCAGGCCAGGCCCTGCCCCCTGCCCTGAGGAAACAGGTGGGATGAGGCTGGGGGTGCCCTCAGACCCCCCCCAGGGGCTAGTGAGAAGCCACCAGTGACAAGGGTCCCACTGTCCCTGCCTCACCAGATGGCTGTCCAGTGACCAGGACTAGCCATGACCCAGAGAGAGCAGTGATCACAGAGACCCCAGTTGGGTGGGTATCTGTGGCTTCCCCTCCTCACCTCACCTCCACAAGTGGCAGGTGACAAATCTGAGGCCCAGAGCAGCTCAGAAATTTCAGAGAGCCCACAGCTGAACCCCAACAGGATATTTCTCCTACCATCTGGCCTTCCCAGCTCTGAAGAAGGGAAGTACTCTGAGGAACGCCACTCAAGTCATCCCAGGGAAAGGAGGTTTCCCACACCCCCTATCACTAAGAACAGGGGCCTCCAGGGAGTGAGGGGAGCTGACCAAATGACCTTGGGAGTTGTTAGTAAGCAGGAGGGACAGGGGTCTGCTTCTAACGCTGACTCTTCCCCTTCCTGTGAAAGCACCCGCAGGTGCACACCACCCTCCCTGAGCCTCAGTTCCCCAGTCTACAGAACGGAAGTAAGTCTCCACTGCAAGGTTGCTGTGAATCCTAATATGATGGAACAGCAATTGCTAATAATAACCTTCTCTTTCCTCCTCCCATCAGGAGTGGCCTGTGCTCAAGGTATCACAGAGACTAGTACTGGTGGACAGAAAGGCCTTTTTAGGAAGCCACTGAGACACCCAACAGGTTAGCCCAGTCTTGCTTCCCAACCCTTCCTGTCTTCGTCTCATCCTAGAACCCAGTCACCACCCGTGTCCCCAGGTCTCCATCACCATACGAAGCTTCCCAAGCCTTACTTTGGGAGGATACACATGCACATGCTTACACATGCGTGCACGCAGACACACACATATGGACACACACAAGTGTGGAGTCTGCCTTCCAGCTGGCTTGAGTGGCATGCCCACCTGCCTTACAAATCATCTAAAAGGCTCTGGGTTCACCCCAAAGAGACCCTAGGAAGATGTTTTAGCACCAGATAAATGACAGGTACGTGGAGGTAGCCAAGACCCCTGGTGTTCTTTGACACCTTATTGTTCTCTCTCCTGCCCCATTTGATGCCAAAGTTGCAATGTGGCCGTGCCTTGTGGCCAATACAGGACTCTCCTGGTGCCTCAGTTCTGCTGGTCAGTAAATGGAAGAACAGCCAGTTTCACAAGCAGCAATCAACCAATGTTATTTTGAGTAAAACCTCCCAGTTCTGCAGAAACTTTCAAACTGGCCCAACCAAAGAAACTGTTAGGTTGACTTGGTCAGAGATTCTAGCTCCCACCATATCACCCAGGCCTTTTAGGGTGTGCCCAGGGGGACCACCAAAGCCACTGCAAGCAGGCCTTGTCTCAGACCACACTGTGGCATCCATATACATCTCTTGTTAAGCGACAGGCATTTGGATGATGACTTCTGCTTCCAGCAAAACCAAAACCGGAAAAGCAAATCCAGGTGGTCAGGAGGGGAAAACGGCTCCAATGTTAAAATATGGACTTTAACCCTCAGGGACCAGGTAGGGCACCACACAAAATCCTCATTGGATAGTGGGGGCATGGCAACCTCCAGCAGGTGGTCTGGTCCATCCCAGCGGCAAAAGGGGGCCTGACGGGACCACTCAAGGCCAAAGTTGGGCAATGCAGCAAGAAGCATTCCTGAGCTACCAAGTAGGACTGTTTGAAGGGGACAAAACCTGCTCACCACAGAGAAGACGAAGGGGCCTTAAGTACAAAATGCCCAGGTCACAAGTTGTGCCAGTAAAGGGTTCTGGGATAACTGTGAGGCAAAGGCCCAAAGGACCCCGCTCTGCTCACTAGAGAGAGGCCAAGGCCCCCACCAGCCCCAGACCTTTCTCCCCTGAGGAGGATTTGCCCACACTTCCCAAGTGGTGTCTGGGGTGGAGAAGGTAAGCCTCCAGGCCCAGGTGCCCCAAAACAAAGGCAGCCCGGGGAAGCTAGTGTCTCCCTACCTGCATGCTCCCAGGCACCCGTGCACCCATGCACCAGCATGGGCCGGAGCCCCACCCGTGGCCACATCAGAGGCCGACGCACAGGCCCGTTTACTGTGGGAGCCGGCAGGAAACAGCATCTCCACGGCTGCACGCCAACCGTGCAGGCCGCCTCTGGCTGTGGGGCCAAAGGCCTGAACAC